CAATCCTAAACATTAGGCCTTCTTTTATAGGGGAAAAATCCCCCCCCAAACTTAACTCCCAACTAATGTGGGACTTTGGCATTTTGCCAAACTTCAACAGTATCACTTATCTTTGATGCTACATGAGGGCAAATTTGATCAAACTATATATCCCTATGAATAACTCAGCCTGGTGATTTTAGCTCATCTGTCCAAACAGTTGCTTTAAGTACTCGACGAAAATACAAGGCCGTGAATAAGGTCACCTTATAATTAACCATCTACAATACTTGAAAAGCTCCACGAGCAGTGGCGCAGCCACCTTAATCTAAGGGTTGTCAATTGGCACTCCTTCGCCGAAAATTACATTGTGTAGTTAAGTCAAAATTTTATGTTTATGTATATATATGATATGCTGAATCTTGTTAGTTTCTTTGTATGTTTATTTTCTTATATTTTGGTACCCGTTAATGAAATTTCTGGCTCCGCTACTGTCTGAGGTGCACAGTAAACCTAAATTAGGAAGATCTGCAGAAGGATCTCAACAACAACAACAATAACTACCCAGTAAAATCCCACATAGTGGGGTCTAGGGAAGGTAATGTGTACGCATACCTTACCCCTGCCCCGATAGGGACAGATAGGCTGTTTCCGATAGACCCTCGGCTCAAAAAGACGAAAATAAAATAAAAAACAAGAAAAGAGAATTCATTAGTAACTCCAGTAGAAACCGTAATAGTAACAGAAGCATAAAAATGAAAAGATGAATGACATGCAATAACAGTAACCAGAATCTAAGGCCCGAGGCTAAGATAAACAACAAGAATAGTGTGGGTTCAACATAAACTGCAAGCCATCTAAGATCAACCCTAATCCAATCCCGCCTCACCCCCGGTATGAAGTAATGAAAGTTTTACTACCCCTATCCTACAACCCTAATGCTTGACCTCCAGGCCTTCCTATCAAGGGCCATGTCCTCGGAAATCTGCAGTCGTACCATGTCCTGCCTGATTACCTCTCCCCAATACTTCTTAGGTCTCCCTCTACCTCTTCTCGTACCTACCACGGCCAACCGCTCACACCTCCTCACCGGTGTATCAAGGCTTCTCCTCTGCATGTTCCCGAACCATCTGAGCCACGTTTCCCGCATCTTGTCATCCATAGGGGCGACGCCCGCCTTCTTCCAAATATCTTCATTCCTAATCTTGTCTATCCTAGTGTGCCCGCACATCCACCTCAGCATCCGCATCTATGCTACTTTCATCCTCTAGATATGGGAGTTCTTAACCGTCCAACACTCCGCCCCATACAACATGCCGGTCTAACCACAGCTCTATAAAACTTACCTTTGAGTATCAGTGGCACTTTCTTGTCGCACAAGACTCCAGATGCAAGCCTCCATTTCATCCAGCCCGCCCCTATGCGATGAGTGACGTCCTCGTCGATCTCTCCGTCCCCCTGAATCATCGACCCAAGGTACTTGACGCTATCTCTCTTGGGGATGACCTGTGACCCAAGCCTCACGTCCCCGCTTACTTCCCTCGACTCAGTGCCAAACTTGCACTCCAGGTACTCTGTCTTAGACCTGCTCAATTTGAAACCCTTAGACTCGAGAGTCTGTCTCCAAACCTCCAATCTCTCGTTAACACCGGCTCTCGTCTCGTCAATTAGAACTATGTCATCAGCAAATAACATACACCATGGAACCTCCCCTTGAATATGGTATGTCAAAGCCTCTATCACCAAGGCAAATAAGAACGGGCTAAGCGCAGAGCCTTGGTGTAATCCCATAACAATCGGGAAATGCTCCGAGTCGCCTCCCACAGTCCTAACCTTAGTCTTAGCTCCATCATATATGTCCTTGATCGCTTGTATGTAGGCTACCGGCACGCCCTTCGCCTTAAGACATCTCCAGAACACCTCCCTAGGAACCTTATCATACGCCTTCTTCAAGTCAATAAACACCATGTGCAGATCCTTCTTCTTATCCTTGTACTGTTCCACCAACCTCCTAATAAGGCGGATAGCTTCCGTAGTGGAGCGGCCCGGCATGAACCTAAACTGATTATCGGATATAGACGTCGTCTTCCTCACCCTCACCTCCACCACCCTCTCCCAGACTTTCATGGTATGGCTAAGTAACTTGATACCCCTATAATTGTTACAACACTGGATATCACCTTTATTCTTGTACAACGGTACCACTGTACTCGACCTCCATTCCTCCGGCATCTTCTTCGTCCTAAAAATTACATTGAACAACCCAATCAGTCATTCCAATCCTGCTCTACCCACACATTTCCAAAACTCAATCGGAATTTCATCTGGCCCGGTCGCTCTACCCCTACTCATCTTACGCAAAGCCCCCACGACCTACTCCACCTTAATGCGCCTGCAATACCTAAAATCTTGGAGACTCTCCGAGTGCCCCAAGTTCCCTAGCGCTATATCCTGGTCCCCCTCCTCATTTAGAAGACCATAAAAGTACGTCTGCCATCTCTGCTTAATCTGGGACTCTTCCATCAATGCTTTATCATCCTCGTCTTTGATGCACCTTACTTGGTCCAATTCCCGGGCCTTCCTCTCCCTCGCTTTAGCTAGCCGAAACAACTTCCTTTCCCCGTCTTTCTCCCCTAATTCTTCGTATAGGCAGCTAAACGCTGCATTCTTAGCCTCCGTGACCGCCAGCTTTGCCTCCTTCCTAGCCACTTTGTACCTCTCTCTATTCGCACTCCTCTCCTTCTCGCTTGTGCTCCCTGCTAACTTCGCGTACGCTACCTTCTTCGCCTCCACTTTACCTTGGACTATGTCATTCCACCACCAGTCTCCTTGGTGCCTGCCAGAAAAACCCTTCGATACACCTAGCACCTCTCTCGCCGCCTCCCTCACATAGTTCGCCGTCGTCGACCACATAGTGCTCGCGTCTCCACTACTCCTCCAAGCTCCCATAGTGGATAGCCTCCCCTCCAACTCCTGGGCTTTATCCTTGGTTAAAGCTCCCCATCTAATCCTCGGCCGGCCACTAGCATACCTCTTCTTCCTCTTCATCATAATGCCGATGTCCATTACTAAGAGCCTATGCTGAGTCGCGAGGGTCTCTCCCTCGCAAAGCCAAGAACATAAAAGAATATGTTGGAAAAAAACAGCTAAATAAGTAAACATATCTGCTTGTCAGATAAGATTTTCTGCAAAGCCAAGAACATAAAAGAAAAAACTACAACTGGTCTTACTAAAATTCAATAGTTCTGATCTTTCCTAACCAATTTCAACTAGTAGAACAGGACTGATGTAAAGTAGCAATTTATGGGCAGCGGATGGTCACCTGCAAATTGCTGGTATTTGTTCAGGTTCAATGTGACCACAAACTAGCCTTGAAAAGTTCAACGTATCCCTCCAGTTCGCGGTCTTTGATTGATACAGATCAAAATTGCTCTCATATCTCACTCTTCTTGTTATACGATCACGCGAATAGTACTCTTTCTTTAACTCAACATCTTGTTCGTGAAAGTCGCGAATCCCATCAATCATTCCTTCCAAAACACTTGAAGGAACCCCATGATTTATCAGTTGGAAAAATCCCCACTTTTCTGATGCTTCCCTTATTTCATCAACAATCTTCTGACGTCGATCTTGGATTTCTATGCCACTGAGATCTAGGACTGGAATCTTTAGAGTTGACTTGCACAGATTCAACTCTTCAACAAGTTCATCAGCTGGCCTAATGAACATTCTTGGTATGTTCCAAATTCCAGCATCAACTAGTCCTTTAACACCAGCTTTTGTATCATCAAAAGCCTTTATCTCCTTAGATCTATCGTAGTCCATTGTCTGTTCAGCTTGAGACTCTTCAATGCAAGATATATTTGTTCTTAGTCTTAACAGATAAGTTAGTTAAGGTCAACAGACTGCTCATAAATAATGCAATTGTCCTTTGCTGAAATATTGTACTTCCTCCGTTACTAAGAAAAAATGAAGACTTTTGAAATTTGTGGTCCTAAACAAGTCAAAAAGGGGCCAGAGTATTTGTGTGGTTATAAAAACTTCTCATTAAGAGTAAAATTGTAAGTTTAAGCTAAATTATTTCCACATTCAGAAAGAGATCATTCTTTTTGGAACGGACAAAAAGAAAATAAGTTCGGATAAAATATCAATTGTCTAAGGAATCATATGCTCCACGAAAGCAAGAAAAGAAGGATATTACTATTTCACCAACCACTTCGGCCTTATCATCCCACTTCTTTCTTCAATCCCAATAAAGACTATCTTCTCTTGCGTGGAAAAAGCTTATTTGCATAGGTTTTGAGCTAAGTAAACTAATATAACAGATAGTATATAAAAACAGTGGCGTAGCCGGATACAATGAAGGATGATCAGTTGAACACCTCCGTGAACATTTAATTTTTGATAACATTTAATTTTTTATCACTTCTTTTATGTAAATATTTTAGGGAGTTTTAACCTACTATTATTTTAGTTTTATTACACTTTTTATTATAGGATAAAAATATCAAAAAAAATTAAAATATGAATTATCACTATTAATATTTTTTTTATTATTTTTTGTTTTTTTTATATAAAAAAATCCGAAAATATTTATTTTATTTTATTTTTTTAAAAAAATAATAATTTCGGGATTGATTTAAAAAATAAGAAAAAGGGAAGTATTGAATAAAAAAAATATAAAAGTAAAAATAGGTTGAATTCTCTTTTAAAAAAAAGTAAAAGAATGTAGAAAATTAAAAAAAATAAAAAGTTTTGTGAAAATTTTAAAAAAATTAAAAAGTAAAAGAAGGTTGGAAATAAAAAATAAATATAAAGGTATCTGAAAATTTAAAAAATTTAAAGTAATTGAAAGTAGCATTTTTAAAAGAAAAAAAAGAAGATAGTGGTTTGTTTTTTTAAAGAAAAGTTAAATAAAGTGAGATTCTCTTTTAAAAAAATAAAAAGTGGGATTTTAAATAAGATAAAAGTAATTAAAGTTGAAATTTTAAAAATAAAAGTAAATAAAGGTGGAATCTTTTTTTTCTAAAAAAATAAAAGCAATTTATAAGTGGGATTTCTTTTAATTAAAAAATAAAAAATAATAAAAAAACAAATCTGAAAATTTCGAAAATTTTGCTATAAATAGAAGAGAAAATTTAGGAAGAAGGGGGTTCAAAAAAGAAGCTACGCCCTCTTCCACTGCTGACTATGAACAGTTGACAGCTAATGATTTCTACTTTACTAAGCCTAGATAGAGAGAAGAAAAAAAGAGGGGGCGGAGAGAGCGGTATACACTCAATATACACTTTGGATACACTGGATATACAGGGACAGAATTCATTTTGGAGAGAGTAAAAAAGATAGAACCAAATTTTCTGAAATATTGAGAGCGGAAGAACACCATAGAGAGTTCAAAGCTAGAAAGAAAAAACAAAGAGATATTTCCGGACTATTTTTCTTCTCCATTTTTACTAATTTTCTCCGTGTTGCTGGGATTTCTGGATTGAGATGTTGAAGCTACTGTGTTGGGCTTTCTACTGCTGTATGTTGCTGTGTTACATACTACTTTGCTGACCTTCTTCTTCTTGTATTGACAATACCAGGTACACAACTGTAACTTTGGCATATTGTAAGTTGAAATGTGAAAGCATGAATACATATGAAGAATGGAACTTTGAAGTTTTAATTTAGCTTTTTCTTTGTTTCTTTTACTAATTGTATTTAGGCTATTTCATGTATTATTATTCTGTAAATTTCTGTCGCTTTGCATAACTAGGCATCTTGTAGTGATGTATTAAATAATACTTTGCTTTAACTTGATTATTAGGTAGTATATATTTAAGCATGCTCATTACTGTCAAACTGTTTAATAATTGGAATAAGAGGAAAATAACATAAGTTGGTCTTTAGTGAATCGGCTTGGCAAAACTGATTAAGTTCACTAGCTATGAAGGTTTTAATATTGTCAACATTAGGTTAATCGTGAACATGTAGCTAAATTTAGTTAAAGCATGAATTTAAATTAATTTCGTGAATTAGGTATTATGGCATGATTTGAGTTCAAACAAGACGAGTTAATGTTTAAATTTAATAAACTTTCGAATATGCATTAGTAATTACGATTGATTTTAGTTTCAAATAGTTGTAAATAATTAATTCCAACTGTTCAAGTCATCTAACAATGCGAGTTTAATCTAGTTATAGGATAATTATTTTCTTTTGAATATATTATTTGTCGATTCCGTATTTTATTTATAATTTCAATTTTAGTAATATTCCTTTCCGTTAACATTTGTATTAATCTAACATTTAATATGTTACGTTTTTTTTAAGCATGTAATTAATTAGTATTTTTTTTCTTTTATTTTAGAGACGAATTTAATAGAAATGTAGTCACTTTAGGATATCCTTAAAATAAATGAGGCGTGCTTCGCCAAAATAAATACAAAAATTGCGGGATCCTCAATAATTATTTGTTTTAAAATACTTAGATTTCGGGACGGGCCGTTTAGCAAATTTCACGCCCCTACCCAAAATAATAATAGCGCGTTAGTCTTTAGGCACGTATTTAATAATGTTATTTTCCTAAACTCGGGTGCACATTTATGTGACCCAAATCCAAATCTCAACAGAGTCGAAGTGTGTCGACGACCACGGGTACATTGACTGTGACGTGGTTCGAGATATATTTTCACGAGGTTGCAATTCTCGATAAAAAATAATAATAATAATAATAATGATAAAAGCGATTAAAAGTTAAAATTCGCACATATGTTCAGCATGTATTATATCAGATAATCAAGCCGAATATGACAGTTGAGCGACCGTGCTAGAACCACGGAACTCGGGAATGCCTAACACCTTCTCCCGGGTTAACAAAATTCTTTATCCGGATTTCTGGTGCGCAGACTGTTAAACAGAGTCATTCTTTTCCTCGATTCGGGATTAAAACCGGTGACTTGAGACACCATAAATCTCCCAAGTGGCGACTCTGAAACAAATAAATAAATCTCGTTTCGATTGTCCTTTAATTGGAAAAAATTCCCTTCCGAGCCCCTTTGCGGCGGCGCGGGTGAAAAGGAGGTGTGACAACCTCCAGCGAAAAATTATATTGTGTATATAAATAAAAAATTACTTTTTATATATAAAAAAAAGGCCAGCCCGGTGCACTAAGCTGCCCTATGCGCTAAGTATAGGGGCGGATCTACCTTATGAGGTAGGGGTGCCACGCCACCCGCTTGCTTCGCTAAAATTGTTACATAATATCTGTGTGAAAAAACGTATATATTGATAGAGTGGCACCCAAAAGTCACAAAGTGGACGTGGGTGCCATTGGTTCAATGTCCATTGTGAAGGATGTCCTCGGCCTCAGGAATGCAGTGTTTTAACTTGTGCCCGCTTTGCAAAAAAAATTGCAAGCATACCCGTTTTTTTACTTTACTTCAGCATACAGGGCTAAAGTAGCAAAGGCAATCACGCAAAACTTCAACATTCTAGTAGTCGGACCTGAAGTTCAGCTCTAGAGCTGAAGTTTTTGTTTTGTAACTGGCGAACTTCAGCTCTAGAGCTGAAGTTTTTGTTTTTGTAACTGGCGAACTTCAGCTCTAGAGCTGAAGTTTTTGTTTTGTAACTGGAAAACTTCAGCTCTAGTAGTATTAAATAAAATGTGATTTTGGTATGTATGATAATAAAATGGAGGAAAAACAAGAAGCTTTATTAAGCGTTTTACATAAAATATTGGCCTGTATATTTTTTGTGATATTGCTTTGACCATGTGCATTTCTAATTCTTACTGTCAAGTAAAAATTTTTGTGATATTGGTTCTATCAGAATGATGTTTGGCTTAAAGACCGTATAACTGTTTGGTTTGTTTCCTACATATAATGTAAAAAAGGTTTGGATAATTTTTATTTGAAATGCATTGCAAGTACTCTAGCAAAGGAGAAAAAGTTCTACCTTATCCTAAAAAGCTTACATCACATTTATTTGAGATTTCAAACAGATGACGGTTTCAGATGGATAGAACACAGTGTTGCATTAACTTTAGAAGATATATTTCGTTTTTAAACTTTCAAATTTTGTGTAATTATAACTTACTAATGGTACACGAAATAATATTGTATATCATGTAACAATATGGTATTCTCAAAAGGTTGTGTACAATATGGTATAAAGCTGAAGTTTTTGTTTTGTAACTGGCGAACTTCAGCTCTAGAGCTGAAGTTTTTGTCTTTGTAACGGGAAACTTCAGCTCTAGAACTGAAGTTTTTGTTTGTTTATAATTTCATTTGCCATACCATCTTGACCAAACTGAAAGAAAATTAATTAGAGGAGGACCTAGATATATCGACGGCAGGAGAACACTGCACCACAAACTTGCAAATTGTGTTAGATTTTTTACTTTGCATAAAATCCACGAAACACTGTAAATATCCTCAGAGAAATTAGAGAGGCACATTCAATCCATTCATTCACTTTTTTGTCCTTATACAGAACTGTACGATTATTTGCCTGAGTAGTTTCATGACTTTTACTGCTGCTACTTACCAGATTAGGTAATTACGAGTAGTAATTAATCAAACAAATCACCAAGTCAGTTGTATATATATGCATGTCACGTGATAGGAAGTGACGAAGAAAGCAAATTGGTTGTTTCAGATATATAGGTTGGCGTGAAAATTTATAGGACTCACCGGAGAAATAAGAAGAAGCAGATAGGGATGAACCTTACTTCTGGAAAAAGAAAAGATAAAATTTTGAGAAGGAGAAGGAGAAAGGGGGCTGAAGTTGTTTAAAAAGTGGGTACAAGTTAAAAGTTTTTTAAAAAATGGGTATAAGTTAAATGGGGGCGACCAAATAGGGCGCCCCGTGCAATTTTTACTTACTTTTTCGATTCTTGCCCTCCTTTTCTTCCTTTCATTTGCTAAATCTCTCTTCTTCATTTTTTTAACTTTTAAGTCCTCATTTTGTTTATCATTATACCTTAATTTATGAGCAATTATTTTCAATAGGTAATTTGAATTGATTTTAATTAGCGTATAATTTCTTTCTTTTTAGTAAAACGATATTAATTTATATATTAGAGTATAATTTGAACAATATCTTCTATTTGGTTTTGAAAATTGATAGTCGTTTTGAGTCGAATATCCTAGGTTGAATGTTGAAGGTTTTTCTTTGAAAATAATTGCTATATAAATCAACAATTAAAATGGGAAAATTAATTCAAGAACAATACAAGTAAATTAATCTAGTCAAACAAAGAATATATAGTAGTTAAGCTATTCTTTAAGCAAGTTTTTATATTGGAGGCACTCTTGTGAAATGTTATTTTTCTTTTGCATTTTTATTTTAAAAATTGAACTAAAATCGAACTTATTTGCTTTGTGAATGAAAGGTCTATTGGAATTAACAAAAAACTAACTGAACCGATCTATTATTCGTAATCTATCTTTGTAGCTAGTGACATGTATACTGTATGCATAATATGTTGGCACCTGCAACCTTCGAATCCTGGATCCGCCTCTGGGCCTAAGTATACATATATAAAAATTACTTTTTATATATGTATATTAAATCTTGAACACACTTAGCGAAATTTCTGACTTTCCCCNAATAATAATGATAAGTTAAAAGATTTTGGTTAAGGTTTAGTTATATTTATCTCTTGTAAAACAAAAAGAACCAGGCATTTTAGAAGCAGGGCCGAAGTTAGGTAGGAGGAACCGGTTCATCCCTTTGCCCGAAAATTACACTGTGTATATAAGGTCAATTTTTTTCCATATACATATTCTAGATGTTGAATTACATTAGCTTCTTCGTGTGTTTATTTATTTTACTTTTTTTGAATCCCTCTGGTGAAAATTCTGTTTCTGCCACTGGTTAGAAGAGATGATGGATCTCATTCAAGTCTCATTCTCTCTCCCTGGAAAAAACTTAACTGATCATGTAAAGCCTAGCTAGTCGATAACTGTTAGAAATCTTATGATCTTTAACGTGATTTTCGAAAAAAACCATTATATGCTTAAAATTTTACTTCTCTATATGGATAATATATATACACGCTCGGGCAAATCAAATTGAAAAGATCATCTGAATCTGAAAGGATCTAAAAGATGTTTTATTTCTGATCTTTTAAGGTTTGAAATAAACAGCAGCACAATAAAAATGCTCTTAGAAGGATAATTTAATAGTCGTTGACAAAACATTATTGTACAGCAAACCACAAACTTGGACATTGTTGTGCATAAAGGATTTTAGTTTTTCTGAAGGAATATAGTGATGTTCACTGCTGCTTCGCGACATGGCGCCAGATCACTCTTCACAGTCTGAAAAGATCAAGACCAGACTTATCAAGTGGCCTGGAGAAAAACTCAGTGATGTAATCACTTGCTAGAAATTCTTTATATACTGCGGGTTTTTCTTCTGATATGAGCTCTTTCATTGGACCATAAATCTTTGGAGGTGTTAAAACACCAGTGAAGAAGCACGCCACTGAAATCCTTGGTCCTATCTGATTCGCTAAAACTCTATGGTTCACACTTACAAACTTGTCATTTGATAGTATCTGTAACAAAATCAGACTGAGAATAAGTAATGAGTAATTCGTAAATAATGAGGATAAATGAGATGAAAAAGTTGTGTTATGTTGCAAACCTGAAGAAAGTCGCCAATATTTACGACCACACCTTGTTTAATCGGCTCAACATCGACCCACTGGTTATTATGCACGACTTGAAGGCCACCGCTTTGATCTTGAAGCAGAATGGTAAGGAAATCAGGATCTGTATGCTTGTCGGTGCCAATAGTTAGCTTTGGCTGTGGGCATGCCGGGTAGTAATGGCATACCAATGTTTGTCCTTTGGCACATTCCATGGCGTTTAAGTGGTCCGGTTTTAGCCCAAGAGCTTCTGATAGTAATTCAAGAAGAGTTTCTCCTAGTTTTCTGACATGATTCATGAACTCAAGGAATGCTTTCCTAGACATTGGGAAAAGATCAGAGATTACAAAGTTACAATTTTTGGTAAAGATTTAAGATATTCCTGTCTAATACATGTCAAACAATTGTACCCCTAAGACAAAAAAATTAAGAATACTGCTGAAGCAGAAATTCTTAGACGAGGGGTCTATCAGAAAAAGCCTCTATGCCCTCCAGGATAGGGATAAGGTCTGCGTACACACTACTCTCCCCAGATCTCACTTGTGAGAACTCATTGGGTTTGTCGTTGTACTGCTGAAGCAGAAACTCATAGAAAACAAAAACTGCAACTGCTCTTACTACAACTAAAATCAATAGTTCTGATCATTAGGGAAATTATTACCAATTTCAACAAGAAATGAACATACACCACTGACCACTAAGGCAGTGATCTCTAATCAATAAATCTGAAGATTTAATGCAAAAATTTCAACCATCATATCAAAGACTTCAATATCCTGCATACATCAAACAGGACAGATAAAGGACAGATAACTTACCTGCAAGCTATCGGTATTTCTTCAGGTTCAATATGACCAGTAACTATCATAGAAATGTTCAATGTATCCCTCGAGTTTGCTGTCTTTGAATTGTATAGATGAAGATCAGTCTCATATCTAACTCTTCTTGTTACTCGATCACGCGAATAGTACTCTTTCTTTAGTTCAACATCTTGCTCATGAAATTCACGAGTCCCATCAATCATTCCTTCCAAAACACTTGAGGGAACCCCATGATTTATCAGTTGGAAAAATCCCCACTTCTCTGAGGCCTCCCTTGTTTCATCAACAACTTGTTTACGTCGATCTTCAACTTCAATTCCACTGAGATCAACCACTGGAACTTGTAGAGTTGACTTACACTGATTCAACTCTTCAACAAGTTCATCACATGGCCTAATAAAAATTCTTGGAATTTCCACAATTCCAGCATCAACTAGTCCCTTAACACCAGCTTTTGTATCATCAAAAGCCTTTAACTCGTTCAATCGATCATAATCCATTATCAATTCAGCTTGAGACTCTTCAGTGCTGGATATATTTTGTTCTTAATTTCAAGTAGGCTAAGTTTCTTGAGCAAATAAGTTTGATAAAGTCAAACTAGTGCTCATAAATTCAATTGTCCTTTCTTGAATCAACATTCAAAAGAGACATATATCTTTTTTAATTAGTCAATTTGAAGTAACAGTGGAGGGGTTTGGATCATATCCAATAAGAAATCTCTCCATTTCCTACAATTCTATTCCAAATGAGTTACACGTTAAATATTTAAATGTAGCAGATTCATCTAGTTAACCAATTGATATTAACTGTGGTTACTATTTTCTCAACGACTGCTGCCCATCCTTGGGTGCAGAATCTCTCCTTAATGCTCTCAACCGCAATGTCTGAGCTAAGATATATATTTGTAAAAAAAATGAATATAAATCAGAACAAAAAAGTTGTGTTCTGTTGCAAAACTGAAGAATGGTAAGAAAAGCATATGCTTAGCAGTACCAAGAGTGAGCGCGCTCTGACTGTGGGCATACTGGGTAGTAATGGCATACCAATGTTTGTCCTTCGGCACATTCCTTCACTATATGTTTTGTCACATTACTATATAGAGTGCACCATATTAATCTGATTATTTTGACAAGGGGATGAACAAAAATGAATGATACGTAACAAAAATTAACAATACATAAGGTATTAAGGTTGTGTTCTTGACATTGATCCTATTTATTTGAAGATAAAAACAGGAAAAAGCAACATTGCTCTTAGCTAATCCAGCAGTCAAAGGTAAAACATTACTGTAGAGCAAATCACAAACGTCGAAACTGCCTTGTAAAAATAATCATGTATTTTCTGAAGTATTGCTATTGGAAACAGCCTCTCTACTTTCACAAAGGCAGGGGTAAGGTCTGTGTACACATTACCCCCCCAGACCCCACGATGTGGGATAATACTGGGTATGTTGTTGTTTCTGAAGTATTGCTGCTTGGCAAACTAGCGCTTAGTCTCTCTTTACAGTCTGAAAAGGTCAAGAGTAGACTTACCAAGTGGCCTGGATATAAACTTAGCCATGTAATCACTTACTGAAAATTCTTTATAAAGAGGGGGATTTTCTTCTGATATGAGCTCTTTGATTGGACCATAGATCTTTGAAGTTGCAGAAACGCCAGTGAAGAAGCATGCCACTGACATCCTCGGTCCTACCTTATTCGCTAGAACTTTATGATTTACACTCACAAACTTGTCATTTGATAAAATCTGTTACCAAATCAGATTGAAATAAGTGAGACGATTTTGCTTAATCTAACATAAACAAGACAATAATGTTGTGTTTCAATAACAAACCTGAAGACTCTCGCCAATATTAACAGCCAAGCCTTGTGAAATTGGCTCAACATCGATCCACTGGTTATCGTGCAGGACTTGAAGGCCACCGATTTGATCTTGAAGAAGAATGGTAAGGAAAGCAGTATCTGTATGGTTAGAAGCACCAAGAGTTAGCTCTGGCTTTGGACATGCCGGATAGTAATGGCATGCAAATGTTTTCCCTTCCACGCATTCCATGGTTTTCAAGTGGTCTGATTTTAGCCCAAGTGCTTCAGATAGTATGCTGAATAGAGTGTCTGCTAGCCTTGTGACATGATTTATATACTCAATGGATGTGCTCCTGGAATTAGGAAAAGATTCGAGATCACTAAAATTACAAAAATGTGATAAAGTTTAGCCTAACATGTCAAATAATTATGCCGTTTATACTGAAGGACAGACGAATTCTTTGAGATGGACTGAAATTCCCTATATTCAAAGATTTCAGTATGCAGTATCAGTAATAAAGGGCAGCCCGGTGCACTAAGCTCCCGCTATACAGAAGGGGAAGGGCCGGACCGAAGGGTCTATTGTACACAACTTTAACCTGCATTTCTGCAAGAGGTTGTTTCCACGGCTTGAACTTGTGACCTCCCGGTCACATACTAAATGATGGCACATCGACTGGAACATATCTAAAAATCATTCATAGGTTGCCCTGGTTTTGTTTTGCCATGTCCTCAATACGAACAACCAGCTAGTTCCAGACCAACCTTCACAGCGTAAGCCCCATCTACAAATCCAATATTTTCGATGCTGAGTACAGATATGAATGTAAAATTCACACATCATTAACCAGAGTGTTGAAATCAAGCCGTAGGAATAAAGTCGCCTTTGGTAGGCCCCGTCTATGAATCCAATATTTGCAATGCTGAGTGCATATATAAATGTAAAATTCACACAAAATTAACCAGAGTGTTGGGATCAAGCCTTGGGAATAGAATCGCCTTTGATAGGGGGCGCTTTATCCTGAAAAGCAGGACTTTCTGGTTCAAATCCGGATTTGAAGGGCCTCAAAGAGGGACCAGAGACCGGGTGCGAAACCAAAAAACTACAAGAAATAAACATTGACCACTGTCTATCACCATACCGGTGATCATAGGGGTTAAGACTTCATCGCCAAGGAATTAAAAAGATATAGAGATACTTACCTGCAAACTGCTGGTATTTCTTCAGGTTCAATATTACTAGAAACTAGCATAGAAATGTTCAGTGTATCCCTCCAGTTTGCAGTCTTTGATTGGTAAAGATCATAATTGCTCTCATATCTAATTCTTCGCGTATGATCACGCGTATAATACTCTTTCTTTAACTCAACATCTTGTTCATGAAATTTACGAATCCCATCAATCATTCCTTCCAAAACACTTGAAGGAACACCATGATTTATTAGTTGGAAAAATCCCCATTTTTCTGATGCTTCCCTTATTTCATCGACAATTTTCTTACGTCGATCTTCAACTTCTACGTTACTTAGATCCACCACTGGAATCTTTAGCGTTGACTTACACTGATTCAACTCTTCAACAAGTTCATCAGGTGGCCTAATGAACATTCTTGGTATGTTCACAGTTCCAGAATCAACTAGTCCTTTAACACCAGCTTTTGTATCATCGAAATCGTTTATCTCCTTCAATCGATCATAATCCATTGTCAGTTCAGCTTGTGAATCTTCAGTGGAAGACATATTTGTTGTTAGTTTCAAGAAAGCTAAGTTCCTTGAGCAGATAAGTTAGTTAAAGTCAACTAGTCTCATAAATGTAATGGTCCATTGTGAATCAATAGTCAAAAGAAACAGGGAACACATTATTTTAATTAGTTTGAAGTTAAGACAGTGCAGATCTCGAGTAATAGCCTTGAAGTGTTTTTTTCAAAAAACAAATTTCAAAAGTACTGAACACCAATTAGTGTTTGGCCAAGATTTAAAAAACTGCTTTTAAGTGTATTTTCTCAAAAGTACTTCTAAAAAAAATGTTTTTGGAGAGAAACTACTTTTTTCTGCTTCTCCAAAACTACTTCTGCTTCTCCTCAAAAGCACTTTTTTTCCTTCCAGAAACTTGGGTTATAAAGCTTTTGTCCAAGAATTCTGTAGAATAAGTTTGGGGGATGAACCGATTAAATGCATTATCTAACGAGGGCAACAAAGTCCGTGGCTCAAATTATTTATATTTCTTGGCCGTAAAAGTGTATAAAATTTATATATTTGTTATTTATAACATAATAATAATTTCGGTTATTATTTTGAGAATGGTTATATAGTGTCATTATCGGAAAAAAAGTAAAATAACATAAGTTAGTTTTTGCTATACACATATAGAAGAAAAAGAAACACATAACAATGGACAAAATTGTCCATTTTAGCTTACAAAATAGTTTCGTCACAACAAAATATAAGAAAAGGTAGGTTTGTGTAATATTCGAAACCATGGGTAGACTATACCAACAAAAACCTCAGGGGAGGTTTGTGAATTTTTTTTCCAAAATAGTACTACTAAATGATTACTCGTTCCGTTCACTTTTACTCGTTCACTATTGATTTTGCACACCCCTTAATAAATATAATAAATAAAGTATATAATTTATCATGATACACATATTAATTGATGTATAATCTTAATTGATTTGAAAAATAATTTAAAATGAGTAATCAATGCTAAGAGCAAAACAGGAAAAATAAATTATTTTTCTATGTAAAAATGGACAAGTAAATTTGAAAATCTACTTTAGAATAGTGGACAAGTAAAGGCGAACGAGGGAGTAAAAGTACATCGCATGCACATTGAAGTGTTGTTGATTAAAGCTCAAAATTTTAAAGGGCTGACCATGTGCAAATTGAAGCAATAGAGCTACTTTTAGACAGTAGGTGCAACTAATATATACTCCCTCCTCACTTTTACTTGTCGTATATATTAAAAATAAATTTTTATTTTTACTCCTTTTGTTCACTTTTACTTGGCATGTATATTAAAAATAGATTTTTATTTTTACTTGTCACTTTACGCATATTAAGAGAAGACAATTTTTTTTTCTGTTATACCCGCAGTATTTATTACTCATTTTAAATTATTTTCTCAAATCCAATAAAATATGCATTAATTAATGTAGGTATCATGGTAAATTATGTACTATATTTATTATTTCTTAAGGGGCGTGAAAAGTCAAAATGTGCCAAGTAAAAGTGAACGGAGGGAGTACTTGTCACTTTACGCATATCAAGAGAAAGACAAAAAAATTTTCTGTTATACTCACAATATTTATTACTCATTTCAAATCATTTTCTCAAATCCAATAAAATATGCATCAATTAATATGAGTATTATAATAAATTATGTACTTAATTTATTATTTTTTAAGGAGCGTAACTAGTCAAACTTGCCAGTAAAAGTGAACAAAATTATTAATAGTCAGCAACGAACCAAGAAAAAAACACATTTATTAAAAGATATTCTAATTATTAATATGACACATCACAAGTTCTGAAGTTTGTTGGAAACTGAGAAGATCAAGGGCACATCTTTCGAGCTGGACTGGATTTGGAAAAGTGTGAATTTTCAAAAGAAGAACAATCATATGATATTTTGGGAATCTCTTACGTTTGAAACCTATCTTAATACCTCGAAGTTGGATAAAATGGCTTTTGCGTAAGGATTATTTTGCTCCTAATTTTTATGAAATACAAAATGCTCATTGAATGATAAGGAAGCTATTTCTACTAAGACAATTTTAGATATTCAAAAATTGCACGTTTTATTCTAGATTAAGATTCAAACATGTCTAATTTACAATTTGTTTGGATGGTTGTTATGTATCATTTTATGAAATTGTATTGTATTGCATTATATTGTACTGTATTACTTTTATGTATACATTATTTGGATAGATTGTATTGTTTATCGTCGTATCATAATGCCATGCACCAATAATATGAAACATAAATATGCAATATTATTTTAAAAAAAAGTAATGTACGAGGAAGAATTATTATATAAAAATGTAGGGTGAATGATAAAAATAAGATTATTTAATAATAAGGAAGGGCAAGATGAGAAAAAGCGACGCGACCATACCAAATCGGTCGTTACATAACGTGGTACGTTTACTCGTTAGGTAATGATGAATAACGATATGATACAATTAAATTTAAGTAACAATCAAAATAAAAATTATATTTAAAGTAAAAATTCGATACAATACAATAGGTGACAACCATCCAACCAAAGTGTTTGAGAATTATCGATAGGCTAATAAAAAAAAATAATTAGAGATCCATTGGAATTCTCACAAGACACCTCAAACAAGCCAAAATGAAGAGCACATCATCTAATCTTTAGACAACTCAAGAAAAGCTAAAATAAATTTACAATGTATACTCAAGGTTACACAACATGGTTTGAAAACATTTATTTTGTGTTCAGGAAACCACTGTTCTCAATTTCCTTAGATGAACAGAACTTTATATGGGTCGAAATCTGACCAAACGAGAAACTGTGCGAAGAGGAGCGGCAAAGTCATTTGGGTCGAAGTCGTATTCGTACAATGCTATAGCGATGAGCACCTCGGCTAAGGCCGAGGTCGTGTACTCAGATATTGTACGGTGAGTTCAGGGCTGGCTCTAATGCACAAGCCACTAAGGCAAGCGCCTTAGGCCCCTTGAGGGCCCCGTTTTTCAATAATAGTTACTAATCGAAGGACTTTTTCTACTAGGTATACATAGATTATACATTGACTATATATATACACATACACACACTATATATATATATATATATATATATATATATATATATATATATATGCCAGCTATTTTAGTTTATGAAATTAGGTGGGCAACTATTTGGGTTAATTCTTCTTTCTTTTTTTCTTTAGAAAATATTGAATTAAAATAAAAATTATAAAAAAAGTCCTCATGTTAATATTTAGCTTTAGGCCACAAAATATGTCGAGCCACCCATGGGTGAGTTGGATGTTACGGTATTTCAGATGACCAATCTGTAGAATAGTTAAAGGGCTTAGATACTTTGACTAATGATCGTTGTGTAAATGAGCATACCTAGTATATATACTAGGTGAGAGAACGAAGAAGGGCGGCGGGGT